GGATGAAATCGTACAGAGCAAAGGCTTTAAACCTGTTTGTTTGAAACTAGTAATTTAGTGTGGATCTAACGACAAACACTTAGTTTTTCAGATTGAAGTCCTTACAATTCAGTCGTATTAATGTGTTGCATCTAACGACAATGTATTTTCTTGGGCACCTGTTTACTGAGTGTAAATGACATGGTGAGATCAGGTTATTGAAAGAGTTGTAACTCATGGCTATGGCAGTAATGAACATGCCATTCTATAACATTTGCATGAGGTCTATGTTGTTGGAATTTTGAAGGACTTCATTTTTGTTGAATGCCATTTAGTGTAGAGCATGCAACTTAAACTATAGTTTCGCAAAATGCATACAACATATTTTATGTTTTGTGGATTTTTAAAAACCAGTTGTGCACTAATCATAGAGTACATTCAATTGTTAATGTAAAAGCTTACAAAACAGACGATATTCATTCCAACAATCTTAATTGCTTGACAAAATTGAAAGAACATATAATATACATAAATTTCAAATGTTCATCAAAGCATAAAGTATATTATAAATTATTTAATACATATTAAATTTTAAATGTTTACCAAGTTATACAAAAATTAAAAAAAAAAGCTTTTAGTGATTCATCAATAAATTTCGTAAAATTTTAATAAAATAATTACCGATTTCAAGGTGATGATACTCAACTGAGAAATAAAGCCCACTTTTAAATTTCGATCAAATCTATCGAAACAGATTGAAACTAAAAATATTTAATGTCATGTAAAATTTAGTAAAAATCAAACAAATGTGTGTTTGGGGTAGCATTTCTTGCGCGGCGCGGCCCCAAGCCACACAAAAAAAATTTTTCGTTTTGATGTTGCGTTTTGGGGGCCTTTGGGATAATTTCGGCAGAACGCAAGCTGCGGGTTCGACCCCGCGGCCCATGTTTCCTATTATTCGACGCTGTGCTTTTTTACGGCCCTACCTTTTTCTCTCGTCCTCGAGCCTATGTGGCCACTGAATCTTCACTCTCTTCTCTCGCGACAACGTCGACTTCTCCCCCCCTTCTCGCGACCGAGCTTCTCCACCGTAAGGTCTTCAGACTTGTCTCTAGCATTATGATCTTGTGATTGGTTCTTCTATTGCTGGTTTTGCATTTATGTGGTTTTGTGATTGGTTCTTCACTTGTGGTTTTGTGTTGGTAAGGCCTTTTCTCTTGATGGTTTTGCGGTTTTGCGATTTTGCATTGGCGTGGAAGATTGAGGTAGATTATTTCAGAGTAGAAGCATGGTTAAATGCAAGAAGAGTGACTTGGTTACAGAAATAAATTGAAACTAGTAAGATTCTCAATTGAATTAGGGTATAGTGATTTCTGGCTCCTTTGGCGGTGCCCCTTGTTTTGAATCTTTTGGTTTTTCTATCAATTGTCATGCCCAATGAGAATTTGGTTTGCTATGAATTTTCCATCTCAAAAGTTGTAGTTCTAGATTTTTCTAGGAGGTGGAAGTTCCTTGAGTAGGCATGAAGTGAGGGAAATTTTAAATTCTTTTGTAAGATGCAATAAACTCTAAAATATTCCCACAAAATAATTGCATAGAACTCCACTATGCAATTATATAAACAAATATTTTTGTTTTCCACTACCATATAGGATTCCTTTTTACTCTCACCGCTACTTGAGTTTTTAACCTTCTCTGTAAGTGATGTATTTCACATTACCTATCAATTATGAAGTAATTAACATGTATGTTATCACATACTGGATACTAATTCAATTGTGTGGTTGTGGTGGTTGGTATTAGGTTGGGTTGATGGCTTTGGCTTGTGGTTGCTCTGTTGTTGGTTGAGATTGTTGTGTGAATTTATGACATATATTTTGGGGTGTTGTGGTCGCTCTGGATTATGATGGTTGGATGGGTTGTGGTGATTATGTGACTGTGTTGTGATGCGTGTTAGGGTGTTGTGATTGTGTGGTGACTCTAGCTTATGATGTGGTTGTGTGGTTGTGTGGTTGTGGATTGGGCTGGTGGTAGTAGGCTGTTGGTTGGGGTGGGGGTAGTTTGGTTGTGTAGTGGCTCTGGCTTGTGTTGTGGTGCAGGCGAGGCGGATGCGTTGTGGTTGTGGTGCGGTTGGTATTGGGTTGGGTTGATGACTCTTGCTTGTGGTGGCTGTGTTGTTGGCTGTAGAGGTTGTTTTAATTTAAAGTATATGTGGGTGTGTTGTGGTGGCTCTGGGTTTTTATGGTTGCCTGTGTTGTGGTGGCTATGTGGATGTGATTTAGTATGGTTGTATGGTGGCTCTGGCTTGTGATGTGTGTTGTGTAGTTGTGTGGTGGTTGTGGGTTGGGGTGGTGATAATAAGTCGTGGGTTGGGTTGGCAGTAATTGGGTTGTGTGCTGGCTCTGGCTTGTGTTGTGGTGCAGATGGATTTGTTGTGGTTGTGTGGTCGTGGTGTGGTTGGCATTGGGTTGGACTAATGACTATGGCTTGTAGTGACTCTGTTGAGGGTTGTGGTGGTTGTGTGAATTCAGTGCATATATGTAGGTGGTTTGTGGTGGCTCTAGGTTTTGGTGGTTGGATGTACTGTAGTTGTGGTGTGGCTCGCTGTGAGTTGGGGTGGTGGTTCTGGCTTATGGTGGCTTTGTTCTGGACTATGGTGGTTGTGTCAATTCAGAGCATATATGTGGGTGGCTTGATGTGGATTTGGCTTGTGATGTATGTTGTGTGGTTGTGTGGTTGTGGTGGGTTGGGGTGGTGGTAGTAGGCTGTGGAATGGAGTGGGGGTAGTTGGGTCGTGTGATGACTCTGGTTTGTACAGGGGTGCAGGTGGTTGTGTTGTGGTTGTGTGGTTCTCGTAGCCAATTGTTATGTTGTAATTTTTGTGAAATATTAATTTTTGTTTTCTTTTGTTATAGTAATGCAATGGTTAAGACTAAGGAAGTCGGCTTATCAGCCGTGTGGGATAGTGAAACCAAACTCATACTTCGCGACCTCTGTCTTAAGAAGGTTGAGCTGGGAAATAAGCCCACTACTATTTTAACAAAGAATAGTGACAAAATATTATGACGAAGTTCAAAGAAATGACAGGACTGAAGTACGATAAGTTGCAATTTAAGAACAAGCAGGATTAGACGAAGTAAGACTAAAAATTATGAAGGAGATTAAAATGGGGATCCACAGGCTTGAATTGAGATTCAATCAAACAGACTATTTATGCTTCGGAGGAATGGTGAAGAGAGAAACTAGAGGTAACAATTTTGATTACTTAATTTTCACTACACGAAAGACACTTTTTCAATACTCTTTTCTTTTCAATGTAGCAGTTTTTGAGGTGCTTCCTTTTTTGGTGATATGCATATGTGACATACATGAACTTATTATTAAGTGGGTTAAAGACAACCAAAAACACTTGTTTTTTAAAGTCTGATGTTTTTTTGTAGTGACAGATTCGTTGGCTGGTGTATTGAGTTATATGAGACCTCACACCTACACAAAACTGTAAATTATTAATGTTTTTATCAATTTATTTTTGTGTTATGACTAACGGATTGTCTTTTGAGTTATTCAAGAAAAATGAGCTCTAGGACTTCAATAACCTCCCAACGATTACTTTGCTTCTGCAAACTTCAGACTTCCTTACTAACGTCACGTCAGCCACATAGCTATGGGAGACAATTTTACAGATGCCCGCGGAGAATCATGGAGAATTGTGACTTCTTCTAGTAGGCAGATATGCTCGAAGAATCAACCCCTAAGAGTGATCATGCATGTAGAGTAACCCTGAAGGATAGCCTAACTACTGAAAAACATAGTGTTCATTTTAAAGTTATTATTATCATATTGTTAAATATTACTTTAATAGACAACTTTCTTATTTTAATAATCATAATACTTGTTGTTAAAAGAGATGTATATATTATTTTTTTGTATTATTCTAAATTGAATTTTTGTTTCTCAAGTATCAAATAAATTGTTATGACAGTTCTGTTGCAAACAACATTAGTGCATCGGGTCAGAATGGTAATTGGTCTAGAAACATTTGCAAAACAGCTATTTTTCAACAGCACAAACCAAATAGTCAGCCAACTTATCCTCAACAGTTATTGCGCAACAGCTTCCTGGAGAATTAATTACAATAGCATATTAATAAGCAATAGCTGCCCCAAAATAACCATAAGCCTCTTTAAAAATTTTTAAAACAATCACAAATTGAAATTATGTGGAAAACTTGCTCCCACGTAAGAAAGAAAAGTAAAAAAAAGGCTTTTTTTGCAGAGTTTTCCTAAAATAAGACATATTATACTGTTAGATAACAAGCCTTTCATCATCTATTATCTATCTCATCTCTAGTTATAGTTAATATGTGTGTTTGGGAGCCCTTTAAAATGAAATAAACCAAAATCTTATCATGACTGCAATTTTAGAGAGACGCGAAAGTACAGGCCTATGGGGTCGCTTCTACAACTGGATTACCAAAAACCGTCTTTACATCGGATGATTTGGTATTTTGATGATCCCTACTTTATTGACCGCAACTTATGCATTTATCATTGCCTTCATTGCTGCCTCTCCAGCCGATATTGATGGTATTCGTGAACCTGTTTCTGGGTCTCTACTTTATGGAAACAATATTATCTCAAGTGTCATTATTCCTACTTCCGCAGCTATAGGTTTGCATTTTTACCCAATATGGGAAGTAGAATCTGTTGATGAGTGGTTATACAACAACGGTCCTTATGAACTTATTGTTCTATACTTTTTACTTGGTGTAGCTTGTTACATGGGTCGTGAGTGGGAACTTAGTTTCCGTCTGGGTATGTGCCCTTGGATTGCTGTTGCATATTCAGCTCCTGTTGCGGCTGCTACAACTGTTTACTTGATCTACCCTATTGGCCAAGGAAGTTTCTCTGATGGTATGCCTTTAGGAATATCTGGTAATTTCAACTTCATGATTGTATGCCAGTCAGAGCACAACATAAACAGTAAAGAAAAAGGAATGCAATAGCTAAATGATGAAACTTTGCGTTTGGGGATGAAATCCCCCAAGAAGGGTTAGAATGGTAGTTCGTGCCCCTTGGGAGATACCAAATAAATGATTACTGGAATCAGGGTTTTGAGCATAAAGATTCCATGTCTATTTTTTTTAAAGTTTTCATTTATTCACCTTTTAATCCAAACAAAGCTGAAGTTTAAATCGTAGACAAAAAATTGCAGTGATGGCAGAGGATGCAAAATAAAGACTATAAATCACATGTTAACCATAAAGGCTCCTCAAATTGACCCAACTTCTCCCCTGCATGGGAAACCATCGAGCGCATACCAATGTCGTGGAGCAAATTAGCGGAGTGCCAGGCAGGCGTACCGTTCTCATAAGCGTTGCACGTCAGCCTCGTCAGTCCGGTTCCATCTATGCGGCAAATCCACAGGTCCCCGTATGGTTGGAAGTGGTTCGGCATTGACACCGTCTCCGCTGACACGCTTCCAAGGTTCGCCGTGAAGAGGAGCCACTTCGAGTCCGGACTGAAGCAGACATGGTTGATCCTCTCCCTATCTACCTCCTTCGACCCCGGCGGCCCGGCCACGTGAACCCTCCGTAGGTCCGAGCCGTCCGGTCGAACCAAATATATGCTATATGCTTCCATGTTTGCTGGATTGTGTCGGTTAGACGAGAAAGCGATTAGCGTGCCGTCCGGCGACCACGCTGGCATCGTATCGATCCACTCTCCTTCCGTTAGGCGCTGAATCCCGCTGCCATCGGCATGCTCTCCCTCAATGGCATCGAGAATGTAGAGATTCTTGTGGCCCGATCGCCCAGATCGAAAGACCACGTGCTTACCGTCCGGAGAGCATGATGGGAATGCATTGTTGGCTGTGCCTCCGCGGGTGAGGATTTTCAGATCTGCAACGATTTCCCCGTTTTCATTGTCGAGATGGTCGGGATTGAAGTAGATCCGGGCGATCTCTACCGCTGTCTTGCTGGATTCAAAGATCGGGCCGATGGAGGTGAATATAACGCCCTTCTCCACAGGGCTCCACGCCGTATAGAAAGCTGTGGGCGATTTGAGCAGAGTCCACCTTTTTGAACCGTCTGATCGGAGTATCATCAAGCCAGGGGATTCAAAGAAGTCACCATTGATTGCGATAAGATCGCCGGCGGGAGAAAAGGATGGGAATGTGCCGTGAAGCCGAAGAAGCTGGAGCCCTCGAATTGGAGAAGCCGCGGGCAGGATATTCGGTACCTTTTCGTTAGATTCTCCTCTGAATCGATGGTACCCGAGCTTGTTCGAGTCCTGTGAGAAAAATGGATTGTAGTGATGGAAATTAGGATTTAATCTCTCTGTAATCGGATAGAATTTTTCCGATCCGAGATCAAAGATCTCGATGTGGCGGAATTTATTCCCCTTCCTGCGCGTGGCGACGGCAATATACTTCCCGTCGTGAGATGCAGCCGGCGTGAAGGCGTGTAATCCAGGCGGGGTTATACGACGAGGAATTAAATCGTCGAGATTATCCTTTAAATCGAGCCGGTAGATGCTCCACCAGCCGTCTTCGGCTATAAGATGAAAAAATACTGTGGATTCGCCGGAAAAAGTCGGCCATCCGCCTCGCCCAGCGATGATTGTGCGACGAGTCGGGTCCGAGACACTAAAGATTGCGATCTCGGTGTCGAGAGAGCGGAAATCACCGTTCCACTGCCGAGATCCATAAGATGCGACGGCAACTAGTTGGCCCGACTCTGAAAGCGCCGGGCTGAAGTCGACGAATCCGGCAGGGGTTAACCGCACTGTCTCCTCCGTGTCAAGCCTGGTTGCGTAGACAGCGGCCCAGCTCTTCAAGGAGTCTGATGGGGGCTCATGGGCGGAAACGTAGAATACGCGGCCGTTCTTAATGGTGGGACGGTCATGGAAAAAGCTGCTTGTGTTGATCGGGAGCAGTCTGATTTCCTCACCGACCGATGTCTGGTAGAGACGCGCCGAGCCCGTTCGCTCGGAGACGAAGGCAACAGTTTCGCCAGCTCCATCGGCGAACTGGCCGTTGAAATTGACGGAGATACCGTCGGTATGGCGACTTTCTACTAAGTCGGCGAAGAGGGAGGTCGGAAGGACAGTGGAGAACACATCGAAGCCGTAGGTGAGTAAGCCGACAGTAGAGAAGGCGATGGTTCCTTGGGCATCCATCATGTATGAACAAGCTTCAGTCCTAAGCCCAACTTATATCTAACCCGATAAATTTTTTATTCATTAGAAAGTTTGTTTAATTTGAATGTGTACTGTTTAAATGTTGAAATAATTTTTGAAAAACTGATTTTTTTTTTGTTGTTTTTTTTTTTCTTTTATCAACTTTGAAGCATCAATCCGTAGGTGAAGATACCTTTTTTTGTGAAATGAGAGGAATGGATATTGTTTTTTTATTGATCACAATATCCTTAATCGCTGACGATTTTTCATATTATCTTACCACGCTGGATATTAATTCAGCACGCTATTGAATATATTTATTTATAGTTATCCATTTGTGTCTTTTCGGTCGACTTCTTAGATTGGCGTGTGAGGTTCGCGAATATATTCACGAATACCTAATATGTACAAACTAAACAATTTTATTGATATTACTAAGGGAAATCATGGAATCAATTTTTGTTTTGGTATTGACATTTCAAGTTCTAATGGTTTAGCATGAATGATTTTGATTATTCTAATTTATTTTTTTAAGTATTGACCGAGTATTTTTTTTTTAAATGGAATGAAAAAATTGAGAGAAAAATAAAAATGAGAGAGGACTTTGGATTTTATTGACTGAAAGAGTAAAGTTCAGGAGTCCAAAAACTTAATGGGCGAGACATATATATATATATATATATATATATATATATCTTACGGTTGGTGCTGATTTTGCTATATTAGTAGGGGGCTTCAGTCTTTGGTCAAAATTGAAAAGTCAGACTGAATCGGTTTCAATAATGAATTTTGATTTTTTTTAATTCATAAAACATTAATATTCAATTTTTAGGCTTTGTTAGATTTTGATTTTTTTTAACTGATTGAACCAAATAACTAAAATTTTACAAAATTAACTTATTATATTTTAATTTCATTTCGAATGAACTAAAAAAGTTAATTTTATTATATCCACCATTTAGTGAAATAAATGGAGAATTTATAAAATTAAATTGATATTATGTAGATAATATATGTAATTAGCAATGTTTGTTCATAGCAAAAAAAAAAACAAATAATTTCGGCTTGTTCATGACTGAACCATTTAAACCTAATTAAGGGTCTGTTTGGGGCAGCTGCAACTTATTCAGTTTATCCTGATAAGCTGGATAGGTGTTTGGTTTATGCATTTCGAAAACAACTGATTCTGGATTAATGATCATTTGACTCCTATTCTGGATAAGTTGTTTAGCAGTTTGGTTTGAGCATTTGGAAAACAGCTTGTTTACAGATTTTTTAAGTTAAATGAACGATCTGTCACGCAGAAGTTGTAATTTTTTCAACAAAACGACAATATATATATGTTAGATATTTTCGAACCAATTAACCCCGTTCAGAATCATTCGACACATACATACCCCCCAAAAAATGCAGCATAACATTATTTTACATGGAGTGTGACAAGTTTGTAAAATTAAAGATCTAATTTTAAGACATAAAAATATAAAAGAGTTGAGTTACATTTATATATCTCAAATATTTTCGATCACATCAAAGAAGCACAGTTACATATGCAAAAGTGAAATGGATCATCCCAAACATTACCTCACATGATTCAATTCCAACTACAAGAAATATATTTCTATACGCATATCCATTTCCCCTTCATCTTTACTCAACCTAACTATCCTTTCTTACGTCCCCCCTATAGAAAAAAACTGGGAGCAGCTAATAACTGAAGTATCACAATTCTACCAAAATTTTTATGCATCAAGCAATTCAACCACCATCTAATAACTGAAGTAGAAGTACAATAAAACATAAATAAATGAAATGCTTTGTGAACCACCAATAAGAAGTGCATAATAAGCTACAGAAATAAGTTTATAATGCTTATATTATAAACCTTGTTTGGCTTGCTTGGCAAAAAGCAAAAACAGTTGCGGTCCAATTACAATATACCACATACAGTATACCATTTACGATCCAATGTGCAGCAGTAACTATAGCAGAACCGAAAGAACAAACCAGCAACAGAGATTTGGTACAAGAGATGAAAATACACCTGTGAAAGAAAGAAAACGGAAAGCAAAATAGCAGCTTCTATAGGAGTAAAGCATACATTAAGTGCATATTTCCTGCTAGCAGCCTGCCCAACCTGCAACAGAGAACACAAACAAAAATTCGAAAGCAAAGTTGCCATACCCAACTCATGAGGGGTGGAACCATAACAATCCAAAAGAGAAACATGAAGCCCCCCATGTAAGGCAGTGTCCCCAAGTACCAGATTGCCCATTCTCAAACCAAGGAACAAGAAACAGAAAACCATAGCATTGGTTTCAAGAAAAAGCAACATTAAACAATTATTTAAGCAGCAGAGAGAGTGAGGCTCAAAGGGAAGGCGCCTCCAGTAGGTGCGAGAAGACGGAACCAAAAGAAACATTCTTAAAATCATACCTCTTCACGGAGTCGATCAGGGTTATAGCAGGGAGATACGAAGGAATGGGAGAAACCCGCAGTGCGAGAGACGACGACCGATTCAACGGAAAACCTTAAAGCGGCACGTGAAATGATCTAATATCTTTTTATGGACTCAATTAGGGTGAGAGGCGGAAGAGACGAAGGATGCGAGAGACCTGCACTGCAAGAGAGACGAAGGATGCAAGGGACTCGATTAGGGCAGAGGAGCGAGGGGAATGGGCAAGTTTCGTCTTTCGCCTCTGTGAAACGCGGATCACAGGTAAGGACCCAAGATCCGCGTCTAATAGAAAGACAGAACAAGTTTTTAAAAAAGCATCTCAAAAGCCTTTTTCAAACTGTTGCGTTTTCAAAATGTCGCCGTTGTAAATAAGCTCCTTTAAATGCATTCTAAATTTAGATTTGGTCTATTTGATTTTATCAAATTTTGATTGGTTTAATTTTTTGGATTTTGGATTTTCATTGCAATCAATTTGAGATACTGCGGACACCAATCAAACTCCACCTATCACAATTTGTCCTGCAATAAAACTGCGAACAATCTGAACACTGTCGCAACTGCACCTGTCGCAAATCCTCGTGGGATAAACTTACAAACACCTGCCGCAACTGCACCTGTCGCAACTCCTCGTGCGACAAACTTGCGAACACCTGCCGCAACTCCTCGTGCGACAAACCTGCGAACTCCGCTGCAACTGCACATGCCGCAACTCCTCGTGCGACAAACCTGAGAATTTCGCTTCAATTGCACATGCCGCAACTCCTCGTGCGACAAACATGTGAACTCCACTGCAACTGCATATGTCGCAAATCCTCGTGCGACAAACCTGCGAACTCCATTGCAACTGCACATGTCGCTACTCCTCGTGCGGCAAACCTGTGAACAATCCGCAAAATTCACGAACTCCTCTCCTTTGTGAAACTGAAGGCTTCTCCTGTCGCTACAATCCTCTCCCGCGATTCCTTCAACCTCTGGCAAAGAAATTTAGATTCCAAGGGATATTCAAGGAATATTCCTCTCTTCCTCCCACGGCAGAAATTCCAAGTTTTCCTTTTCTCCTTCCCTTGCCCAGGCTAACTACCACAATGAACCCCAAGAGAAAAAAAGGAATATTTTGCTACCCAGGCTCCAAATTTCTCCACACTAAAGAGGGAATATTCTTCTGCTACAAATCAAGAGATTCCTTGATGTCGAACTGCCGCGCAGACCAACTGTCGCGCAAAGCACGACTCCCCCATGCTGCTTCCGCGCGAACTGACTCCTCCACACGAACTACTCTGGCTGGCATTCCTCTTCGCCTAAACCGCAAAGCCTCCTTCGCGAACTGCCGCAATTCGCTCTTCTCGAGCGAACTTCCTCATCGCGAATGCCAAATCCCTGGCTCCCCCCAACCCTCAAAATATGAAGAGACACAGCTCTTCACCAAGAGACACACCTTTTCACTAAGAGACACACGTCTTCACTTCAAGAAACTCCAACATCCGGTATATGAGCCATACCTAACAATTTACTGGTGGGTTTAAAATTGTCAAGAAAAATTTTAACTATGATGACTTTGAAAGCGATTTTAGCTATTGTTTTCGTTAATGCGCTGCTAATTAGTAGGACTGCGAATAATTATAGTCAAAAACCCTCTAGGAAGGTTTTTAGTTGCGATGACTTTCACAGTGGTTTTAACTATTGTCGATCCTGAATTATCCGTTGAGAACACACCTTAAGAGTTAGAAATTGACGGAGCAAGGAGAGAAAGTAGGATTAGCCTATAATTCGCTATCTAGAGAAACCTGGGAGAGGTTCCTTTATTCATGTTTTTGTCTTCTATTTATAGAAGTGTGCTTTGTACAATTACATAAAAGAGAGAACTGTTATTGTAACTACTCTTATTTCATTTGATGTTCGACTCGATCATATAAATTTTATATTATATATGTATTACAATTTGAATTCTAATATGATGATAATTATTTGGTTGATTTGCTTAAATTTTGCCACCTTAGGTGACCGGCTGAGTGGCGATCGTGCCTTGTGCGGTCGCTCGAGGTGTTTGGTCGAGTGGTGATCTCATCTGTCGCGATAAAAGTGGACCAGCCAATTGGCTGCGATCAAAGGCTCCCACCAGCGCTTTGGTCAGTCGGGACTACAGGTGTGGTCTGTCATTCAAATCTTTAACAATAGTGATGTCGGTCGATTCTTGATCATGTGTTTGGTTTTAGAGCGATAAGACGTCTCAATCGTCTGGTCGTCGTCTGTGAGGTTTGATTTCTTTAAGTTCCACGCGACAACTTTTTTGTATACAAGTGTGATGATATTCCAATCAATTGTAATAGTTGATATTTTAAATATATTTTTTAAATTGTATTTTGTAATTATATATATTTTCAATAAACCTTTATATAGAATAACATAAATATATGTGAAAGAAGATTACAAATTTTCAGATACATACGCACACACACAAATATATATAAATACATAGAATTGAGTGATATATATATATATATATATATATATCAATTCTATGTATTTATATGTCAATACCTAAACTTCAATTTTTTACATTTTCAATTTATAGTACAACCGTAAAAATTGAAGTTTATGTTAACAATGTAAATACATAGAAAGTGGGC